CATGTCGCATTCTTCTCTCTCACTGTTTGCATATAGGAAAGCCATGGACTTTTGGGTATTGATTTTATAGCCAGCAATTTTACTATACAAGTCTATTGTTTCTAGGAGTTTCTTGGTAGAGTTTTAAGGGTTCTCTAAATATAGTATCATATTTGCGAATAGTGAGAGCCTGATTTCTTCCTTTCCTACCTGAATGCCCTTAATATCTTTTTTCTTGCCTAACCACTACTGCAAGTACTTCCAGTATTATATTGAACAGCAGTGGAGAGAGTGGGCATCCTTATCTCGTCCCTGATCTTAGAGGGAAGGCTCTCAGTTTTTCCCCATTGAGGATGATGCTTGCTGTACGCTTGTAGTAGATGGCTTTAACTTTATTGAGGAAAGTCCCCTCTATACCCATTTTGGCAAGGGTTTTCATCATAAACGGGTGCTGGATCTTGTCAAATGCTTTCTCTGCATCTACTATATGGTCATGTGCTTTTTATCATTTCTTTTGTTGATATTATGGGTTATGTTGATTTATTTTCGAATGTTAAACCATCCTTGGCATCCCTAGGATGAATCGTACTTTGTCATGGTATATGATCTTTTTTATGAGTCATTGGATTCTATTTGCTAATAGTTTGTTGAGGATCTTTGCACTGTGTTCATTAAGGATATCAGCCTGTAATTCTCTTTCTTTGTGGTATTTCTGTCTGCTTTTGGTATCAGGGTGATATTTGCTTTGTAGAAAATTTTCAGAAGTGTTTTTGATATTTCAATTTCGTGGAAAAGCTTGAAGAGGATTGGGAGTAAGTCCTCTTTAAAATTTTGGAAGAATTCACTAGTGAATCCATCTGGGCCAGGACTTTTGTGCTTGGGGAGACTTTTTATTACCGTTTCAATTTCATGGTGGTGATACATCTGTTCAGGTATTTCAGGTCTTCTTGGTTCAGCCTTGGGAGGCTATAGGAATCTAGGAATTTATCCATTTCTTCGAGGTTTTTATGTTCCGTGGCATAAAGCTTCTCAAAGTACTCCCTGAGGATCCTTTGGATTTCTGTAGTTTCTGTTTTAATGACCTCCTTATCATTTTTGATTCAGTTTCTTAGGGTTTTCTCTCTTGCTTTCTTTGTGAGTTTTGCTAGAGGCTTATTGATCTTGTTTATTTTCTCGAAGAACCAACTCTTGGTTTAATTGATCTTTCGGATTGTTTTTTGGGTTTCCATCTCGTTAATCTCTGCTCTGTTTTATTATTTCCTTCCTTCTGTTCAGATTGGGCTCCTTTTCTTGATCCTTCTCCAAGCTCTTACGCTGTGAGGTTAGGTTACTTATGTGGGCTCGCTCCTCCTTCCTGAGGAATTCTTGTAGAGCTATAAACTTTCCTCTTAACACAGCTTTTCCTGTGTCCCATAAGTTTTGGTAACTCGTGTCCTCATTTTCATTTGTTTCCAGGAATCTTTTGATTTCCTCTTTGATTTCCTTTCTAAGCCACTCATTGTCCAATAGTGAACTGTTTAATTTCCAAGTGTTTGATTTAGTTTTCTGTTTGTGTGTGTGTGTGTGTGTAATTTACATCTAATTTCAGCGCATTATGGTCTGAGAAGATTGTTGATACAATCTCTATCTTCTTAATTTTATGGAGGTATTTTTTGTGGCTCAGCATGTGGTCTGTCTTGGAGAATGTTCCATGCACACTTGAGAAGAATGTGTATTCAGCTTTTTGAGGATGAAGTGTCCTGTATATATCTACTAATCCCTTTCTTCCATTTTTTCCCTCAGATGAAGTATGTCCTTGCTAAGCTTGAGTCTGGGGTGATAAAGCAGTGTTGAAGTCTCCCACTAGTATTGTGTTGCTATCAATGTCTTTCTCCAAGTCTATGAGTAGTTGTTTTAAGTACTTTGCTGGTCCCTCATTAGGTACATATACATTTAGTATTGTAAGTTCTTCCTTTTGTACAGATCCCTTGATCAATAAAAAATTACCTTCACTGTCTCTTGTGACCTTCTTCAGTCTGAAATCAATGTGGTCTGATACTAGGATGGCTACCCCAGCTTTTTCATGGGAGCTGTTTGCCTGTAGGAGTTTTTCCAGCCTTTGACTCTGAGCCTGTGTTTGCTTTGGCTATTGAGATGTGTTTTTTGCAGGCAGCAGAATGTTGGGTTCAATTTTGTAATCCATCCTGCCACTCTGTGTCTTTTAATTGGTGCATTTAGCCCATTGACATTGAGAGAGATTATTATTATGGGGTTTCTTCCCATTTTTCTGTTGAAATTTGTTGTATTTGAGGGGCCTGTTTTGTCTTAAAGTAGCCCATTTAGTTGTTCTTATAACCATGGTTTTGAGTCTATGAAGTTCCTGAGCTGTTGTTTGTCTGTGAAACTATGTGTTGTTCCTTCAGGTATGAATGAGAGTCTTGCTGGGTAAAGTATTTTTGGTGAGGCATTTATTTCATTGAGTTTTTTCAATATATCCCACCACTGTTTTCGGGCCATGAGGGTTACATCAGACAAATCAGCTGTGAATCTTAAAGATGCTCTTTTATAGGAAATTTCTTTCTTTGATCTTGCTGCTTTCAGAATTTTGTCTCTATCTATGGTTTTGGTCATTTTGATCAGGATGTATCTTGGGGTATTTTTATTTGGATTTCTTCTAGCTGGTACCATTCGGGCCTCCTGAATGTGGTCACATGTTTTCTTCAGCTCTGGAAATGTCATAGCAATGATGTCTTTGACAGTTTCTTCTTCATCAGGGTTTTCTTCCTGTCCCTCTGGCACTCCAATAATTCTTATGTTACCCCTCTTGGATTCATCACGGTCTCCTCTTGCCATCTGTTCCTGAATTGTGAGTCTCTTTTCCATTTTCTGCTCTTTTCTGGAGTCTCTGGACTTCATCTTCGAGCTCACTGATTCTGTCCTCAGCAGCTGTTACTCTGCTGCTGAGGCCTTCCACTGAGTTTTTCAATTCGCCTACTAGGTTTTTCAGGTCTGACATTTCTGTTTGCATTTTCCTCATTTCTACCTTCAAATCCTCCTGTCTTTTATTGGCATTGCTTTCCATTGTTTTTTTTTTTAGCCCCCTAAGCATCCTCAGTAGCTCCCTTCTAAATTCCTTGTCAGAGAGGTTGTCTAGCACTTCATTACTGTTGGTGTCTTCTGGGCTAGCCTCTTCAATAAGTAAGCATGGTGGGCTTCTGTGTTGCTTTACCATTGTGACCAGTGTGGTTTAGACCTTCACGTTCGCTGTGATTATTCTGCTTGAGATGCAGAATGAATTGAGATGGGCTTAATGAATTATTGGCTAATGTGTTCCTGGTGGTTAAGCTAACCTAGTGAAAATTCCATGTAAGAGGGTAACTTATGGTTCCTATGGGATATGTAGGGGGAGAATAACTCGTGGCCACATTAGCAGTCACGGCTCCGGGAAGGGGCCCTGCTGCTGGGCGTGTACCTGGATGAATGAGGAGAGGGTGCCCGGAACTGTTTAGCTTTGTTTTTGCATGGTGTGCCTCAATTCCCGTCCCCTGCAGACCAAGGGTGAAACTGGCTGTTCTCAGGGGATCTAGTTAGCCGCACAGGCTGTAGCACTGTCCTCCTGTTGTTCATCGATTTGCTCAAGTGGGCACCAGTAACATCTCCATTGTGAGACTTGTTACTGGTTTTGGCATATAAAATACGCCATGGGTAGCTTGCCAGGCTCTGCTGTGTGGGTGGGATACTCTCGGTAGCTTGCCGGGCTCTCTGAGAGAGAGGGATGGAGAAATAAAACCTGGTTGGCTGTGTGCAAGGCAAATATCCTACCCGCTGTTCTATTGCTCCAGCCACTTACTACTCAATAGAGCAACAATATAATCATTATAATATAATTCACAACATATTATACATATAAAATATAATCATATTAAACTAATAAAGCAAATTAAGTCAATAACAACAGCAAAAGTAGCAACAGAAATGGTTTTGTTGACAAAATTTCATATTATACTTTAGTTTAGTACCACCCGACAAAGCAGAGAAGCCTCTAGATGGTGAGAAACAAAAATTGCAGGACCTGGTACAAAGTGTTAAATATCTCCTTCAGAGTATCCCTAGAGTCCTGCCTGAGAAGCTATAGAACTGATTGGTGACAGTAGAGCCTTCTGATGCCACCTAGTATCAAAAGCCTTGCCTGGGGTTCTCCCAGTGTAAGCTTCTGAACCTTTCCTTCCTTCCTTCCTTCCTTCCTTCCTTCCTTCCTTCCTTCCTTCCTTCCTTCCTCCCTCCCTCCCTCCCTCCCTCCCTTCCTCCCTCTCTCCATTCCTCCCTTCCTTTCTTCCTTCCTCCCTCCCTCCCTCCCTCCCTTCCTCCCTCTCTCCATTCCTCCCTTCCTTTCTTCCTTGCCACCTTTCTTCCCTCCTACCTCCCACTCCCCTTTCTTCCTTCTTCCCCCTTCCTTCCTTCCTCCCCTAACTCCTTCCTCACTTCCTTCCCTCTCCCCTTCCCTCCCTTCCTTCCTTCCCTCCTTCTTCACTTCCTTCTTTCTTCCTTTCCTCCCTCCTTTCCTCTGTTCCTCCCTCCCTGCCTTCCTTTCCTTTTTATCTCCTGTTAAATGATTTAAGGGCGTCCTGACTAGGTTTTGTGCTTTTGTTGAGCTGAGAGCCTGTGGAGGTGCCTTGGACCCACAGTTTCACTACTCTTCCTTAACCCATGCTGTGGGCTTCTGCCACCAGCTTCTTTATGCCTGGCTCGCAGTCTCTTTTCAGTTTCTTTACCCTCCTCCAGACCAGTAAACCTTTCACAGTATCACAAAGTGCAAGATGCATTTACCCACCCAAGAACCCATGTCCCTTGTTCCAGTTTTCCTTGTACCTTTTCCCTTCATGGATGCCATCCCCCACATATCTCTGACTAGAGTTTATTGGACTATTTGGTACTGTTGATAAATGCACAAAACAAAGTTGAATGGAAGATACAGCTGGGGGAAGGTTGATTTTTTACTCTGTCTTCACTTTCTCTCTGTGTGTCCCAATCCTTCCCTACAGGTCTTTTTTGGTAACGTAGATGCCTCTGGGATAAGGCAGAATATTTTCAGTCCTCCAATAATTGCTAGATATATTCGTTTGCACCCAACACATTTTAGCATCCGCAGCACTCTTCGCATGGAGTTGATGGGCTGTGATTTAAACAGTAAGTGCCAAGTCATCTCCTCTGTCCGTGGGTAAACTAATTATCCTAAGTTTTCTGTTACTGGTACAATTTCAGTGGTAACTCCAGCACAGTCCTATACAATGCAGGAATTGGTCAGCCTGTATGATTCCCTGGAGGCAGTCACCTCCTGCACTGCTTGAACTTAGCAAGTTAAAGTTAAATAGCTAAGTAGAGGTAGGCAGAAAACAGGAGCTATGTTAACCATAATAGAATATAAGGGCCCAGAAGATGGCTCCGTGGCTTAAATCACATGGCTGTTTGTTCAAACTCAGATGCTTTCAACACACACCACGTCTGACGGGCCTGTGTTAGGAATCCCTAGGAAAAAGGGCCAGAAGGTGGCTCAGTGGCTTAGGCAGTGCCCTAGGAAGTGTGAAGTCCTGAGCTTCATCCCCAGTGCTACACCTGGACAAAAGAGACACTGATTGCCCCACATGTGGGGTACCTGACAAGGGAAAAATAAAACAGTAGTAATAATAAAATAATAGCAGTCTGTACAAAAGCTAAAGCCTGGGGACTAACATAGGGTGGCAGTAGAGTCCTAGAGTAGACCAGAAGAAACAAGGCCAAAGCATGTCCCCACAATGACTTTCTCCTGTCATTTCTTTGAGGTTGCAGCATGCCTCTGGGAATGGAGAATAAAGCCATATCGGATGCTCAGATCACTGCCTCATCCTACTTGAATAATATGTTTGCCACCTGGTCTCCCTCACAAGCCCGACTTTACCTCCAGGGTAGGACCAATGCCTGGAGACCCCAGGTAAGATGCGGACATTTTCCATTTCTCAGACACAGAGAGAAGTGATGGTTACAAATGCTTATGGGAAGCCCTTGTCTGACTCTTCATAGGTTTTCAATTCTTCACAAAAGGGTGTAAAAGAAAATTGACTGTAGACAGAAAGATATTCAGTGGAAGTGATTTCACACAACATTCTTGGGGGAAATGGTTCTTCATGGAATTTTCTAGAAGCATAATTACCCCCTGCAGTAGTGGGTTAATTCTGTAAGGGAATTATTGGAATTGAGGTACAGATTTAAAGAGAAATACCAATAATTATCCCTCTGCTTATTTCTTCATGCTTCAAAGGAAAGAGTCACAGTTCTATATAATTTATGGGGAATTTTTTTTAGAATACCCAGTGAGTGATTTTCAGTCACTACACAACTTTTGGGGATGAAAGGAGTTAATTATCTATCTACCTTTAGGCTAACTTTTGACAAAGTAAATTTGATACCACATCACCAAGCTTGAACACTCTAGTCAGTCTAACTATGGTTTGTATTTTGTTCAGCGACTATGTAATGGGCATCTATTAAATGGCTGAATCTCAAGGAACTTCAGGTTTAATAAGGGAGATCAAATAAAACATTAAGATACATGTTTGTAAGACTTGAGAGATAGTCCAGTGGGTTGGGCACTTGCCTTGCAGTAGGCCGACCTGAATTCAATGCCCAGAACCCCATATAATCCCTGAGCACAAAGTCAGAAGTAAGCCCTGAGCACCACCAGATTTGGCCCCCAAACAAACAAAATTACAGAGTGAGTGGTAAGTGCTGGTGATATGGCTAAGAAATTATTAGGGGGTTAATGAGGACAAGCAGTAATCATTATGATACTAGTCAAATTAATTTCTTTAGGTGAATAATCTAAACCAGTGGTTACAAGTGGACTTCCAGAAGACAATGAAAGTCACAGGAATAACCACCCAAGGAGTGAAATCTCTTCTTACCAGCATGTATGTGAAAGAGTTTCTTCTTTCCAGCAGTCAGGATGGCCATAATTGGACTCCGTTTCTTCAGAATGGCAAAGTGAAGGTATGATGGTCTCAGAATAGCACAACAATTGTCCTAGTGTTTTGTATGTGCAAACAACAAAGTTGATATGTGACTTTAAGAATAAGCTTTGCTGAGTACCTCTAGTAACAGGACACTGTGAAAGGTATTTGGGAGCATACTGTGTTGCCACACTAGTCTATATAATTCCAGGAAGAGGCAGAATAGAGCAAAGTGTTGGGGAGGATCTTATCAGATATTGATTTCATCCATGATGATGGCAAGAGTAGGAGAGGTGAAGAAAAGTTAAAGTTCTTAATAATGTCTATATATCATGAAAAGCTTAGGTTCCCGTGAATAGCTTAGATTAGAATCTGAAAAACACTCAAGTACCATGTGCAGAAAGACCTACACCAAGAGACATCATTGTTAAATAATCATAACTCAATGAGAAAGGAAAGTATTAAAGGCTGCTTGGTAAAATAAATGTGATATACAAAGGTACCTTGATTAGGCTAGCATCAGGTACCTGGACAGAAATTCTACAGGTTTGGAGAGTTGAGATGGCATTTAAAGTTCTAAAAAATAAAATGTATTCTAGCTAAGAATACTATGATTCTTGTTCAAATATGATGAGGAAATAGTCTATCTCAAGTAAAAGAAAGCCAGTGAAGCTTACCACTGCCATCATTTTGGCATCCCCCCCTTCCCTTCCATTCACTGTTCTGTTGTGATAACCTGGTTGTGGCGCTCACACATCACTTAAGTCTCTTCATAGTCTATATCTATATCTATGTGGTTTTGAAGGCATGTATATATACACATACATGTGTATTTGTGTCTGTATTTATATTCTTTTCCGGAGTGAGTCCATAAAAGAATTCAAAAGAGAAGAAAGATCCTGATGATATACTGTATTTCATTACATAATTGTAACAGACTTTATGATGTATTTGGGAAAAATAACTGGGATGCAGCCATTATGTGAAGCATTGGGGGGAAATGTGGAGATGATAATACTTTAATAGAGTGTGCCAATTACACAGTGATGAAAACTATGTAGTGAAATTCCATAACAAGATAAAATCACTCTGGCAAAAGAAAGTCCCAGCCTATGGGCTAAAATGCTTCTGTTGGAGACCTTCTGAATCTTACTTAGCTTTGACTTCTGGGGACTGAAGAATGTGGAACTACTTGTGGCATACCTAGAAAGGCACTGCTTCTGGTGACAGAGGATACATCTCTTAGAGATTCAGTGGTTAACAAACATAGAGAGTAAATGATGACAATAAAGTGTGCCATAAAAATAAAAAGAAATTGGGCCAGAGTGGGTATGGTTGCTTGCCTTCACACAGTTGACCTGGGTTCAATATCCGGCGCCTCATATGTTTCCCCGAGTTTATCAGGAGCAATGCCTTGGCACAGAGTCAGGAGTAAGCCCTGATCCCTGAGCACTCCCAAAACAATAAATAAATAAAAAGAAATCCTGAAATCACATAAACTTCTTCCCTACACCCCACCCCATTAAAGAACTTTCACTTTTCTTTCTAGGCAGTAGAGGGTGCTCCTGAACTAAGGAAATTTCTAAGCTGCCTACGTAATTTACTTAATGCTGGAACAAGAGAATACAGGGAGTTTTCTGAATGAACAGAAAAGGGCTGGTAGACTAGAAGGCATCATTGTTTTTGACTTGCCACCATCCACTCCCTCCTTGAAAACTCCGTTCATCTTTGACTTGCTAAATGACTCATTTTGAACCCAGAAGTTTGAGTAGACTTGACAATGACTCCACTTGCAAGCAGAAACTTAAATGTCCTTACTTATGTATTTGACTCAGTATTTTGTGCCTCTGCCATGAGATAGGAATGTCCAATCCAAGAGGACGTATTGTGCAGAGCTTCAGTCTAGAGCTGATCCCAGCCAACGCAGAGCACTCTTTTCACAGAAACAAGACAGAGACGTTTGCTGTAAGTCACTAAGATCTGACTTGGTTGGGAGTTGCAAGGACAATAAAAATATATTAATACATCAGACAACATCCACATAAGGCTACTTGTCACTGTCACTGTAACTGTCCTCCCTTTGTTCATCGATTTGCTCAAGCGGGCCCAGGAACATTCTGAGACTTGTTGTTACTGTTTTGGGTATATTGAATACATCGCAGGGAGCTTGCCAGGCTCTGCCATGCGGGCGAGATACTCTCAGCAGCTTGTCAGGCTCTCCGAGAGGGGCAGAGGAATCGAACTCAGGTGGACCAGGGTGGCCACGTGCAAGGCAAACGCCCTACCCACTGTGCTATCGCTCCAGCCTATAAGGCTACTATTAGAAGAAAATGTAAACTAGGAGTCAAAGCACTTCAGATACGGAAAGTCTCCATTTCCCACCCACAATAAACCACACGAAACAGAAAAATGATAAATCAACCTGGATGAAAAATCTCAAAACAAGATTTTAATACATTCTTCCAATAAGAACATTTGGGGGGTCACACCCAGAACTACTCAGGGAACACTCCTGGCAGGTCTCAGGGGATTATATGGGATTCTGGGAATCAAACCCAGGCGGGCCACATGCAAAGCAAATGCCCTATCTCTTATACTATTTCTCCAGCCCTAAACAATCGGAACATTTTAAATTCAGAATAGAAATGAGGGAAAATAGAAATATGTCAAATAAGAGTTCATGAAATAAAAAATAGTTATTGAAGGTAAGTAAAAATCATCTCGGAGATGAACAGTATAATATCACAAAGAGAATAGATTTGACTGAAACTATAATAAGGGGTATTGAAGAGAAGAATTAAAACAGCCAAAAGATTGAGAACCAAATAAAGGAGTAAAAAAGATAGGTAAAATAGATGATAAATACAGGAAACAATCACATCAGATTTCATCAAATGTGTAATTGTAAATGCTGAAGACTAAAAATAAAACAATGAAACACCACCAATAATAAACTATCATCACAAAGAGTAAACTATCATCTGAGAAGAAAGGTTTCTGGAAGCCAAAGCAACTCTGGATCTATAAAGAAATCAACTGTGTTCCAGGGAAAACTGATCCAGAATAATGAATTCTTAAATAAAAGGTAAAGGTAAAGGCCCTCCCGTTGATCGTCGATTTGCTCGAGCGGGGCTGGAGCGATAGCACAGCGGGTAGGGCGTTCGCCTTACACGCGGCCAATATGGCCGACCCGAGTTCGATTCCTCCGCCCCTCTCGGAGAGCCCGGCAAGCTACCAAGAGTATTCCATATGCCAGACACAGTAACAACAAAAAAATTCTTAAATAATCCTGGTCAATTAGGCTTCAAAGATAAAGATGACAAATTACCAGTGTCTTCAGATAAAAGAAAATGCAAAATGAGGAAAGTCACTTACGACCACCCCTATACTATTTCTTACTTGTAAGGAACTTTAATGGATGGTACAAGAATTGTATGTATGGGAGCCGAAATTGCAAAATCATCATCTGATGTACAGCACTTAATCAAATGATCAAACTCCAGCATAAGTAGTAGAACCAAGTAGACTTTTTAAAATATCAGTGCAATGAAGACTAAATACACAGCAGGGACTAGAACTCTGCTGGATTAAAGGAAATTTCAGAAAATTTTTAAATTGTTTTCATTTTATTTGGCCATGACCAGCAGTTTTCAGGGCTTTCTTCTGCTCTATGCTCAGGGAACACTCCTGAAGTGGCTCAGACCATATGTGGTGCCAGGGACCAAACCTAGGTCACCTGTGTACAAGGCAAGTGCCCCATGTGCTTTACTAGTGCTGTGGTCCCTTAAAGGAGATTTCAGGGTAGAGAGATGGTTTGGTAGATTTGAACACATTCGTTGCATACAAGAGTCCTGGGTTCCATTGCTGGCACTGCACATTCCCCAAGCATTTCCAGGAGTGATCCCATGGCACTAAGTTGGGAGCACTGTCAGGTATGACCCTCCCCCAAAGAAAGTAAAATAAAATAAAGGAGATTTAAAGTAATATGAAAAGTAAGTTGAATGCATGACCTCTTATTAGATTCAGGATTGGAAACCTGTGTAAAGAATGTTATTGTGATAACAGAAAAATCAAATATTAGATTATACTGTGTCAATATTTTATTTGTTGGGTATAATAATAATATCTGTGGTTATAGAGAAAAGTGATGTTATTTTAGGTGTGGCATGCTGAAATATTTGGGGATAAATGCCATGATGTTTACAACTTCCTTTTAAATAGTTCGGAAAATTTGGGGTGTATATGTGAGGGCTGGAACGATAGCACAGCGGGTAGGGCATTTGCCTTGCATGCAGCCAACATGGCTGATCTGAGTTCGATTCCTCCACCCCTTTCGGAGAGCCTAGCAAGCTACTGAGAGTATCTCGCCCGCATGGCAAAGCCTGGCAAGCTACCCAAGACGTATTATGCCAAACACAGTAACAATTGTCACAATGGAGACGTTACTGGGCCTGCTCGAGCAAATCGATGAACAATGGGAGGACAGTGACAGTGACAGTATGTGAGAGAGACAGAGAAAGAGAGACTATGTCAATGTGGTAGCAAACAATTGGTGAATCTAGGTGAAAATTTCAGTGTTCAAAGAATAAATCTAACAGAATATATCACTGCATCACTGTATATCACTGACCTCCCGTTGTTCATCGATTTGCTCAAGCAGGCCCAGTAACATCTCCATCATGAGACTTCTTGTTACTGTGTTTGGCATATCAAATACGTCACGGGTAGCTTGCCAGGCTTTGCCGTGCTGGTGATATACTCTCGGTAGCTTGTCGGGCTCTCCGAGAAGGGTGGAGGAATTGAACCCGGGTCGGTCGGGTTGGCCACATGCAAGGCAAACGCCCTACCACTGTGCAATCACTCCAGCCAGCCTCCAAATATATATATGAATATTTGTCAAAGAAGCCCAGAAGTTTTCTTTCACAAATTTTTCTAGTCTCTCCTGAGTAGACATCATGCTACGTATTTTGCATGCTGTAGCGCAGCGGTCATGGTCTCTGCCATCAAGGAGCTGGTATGAACAGAGAGAATGGTCAGGAACTGGTGGGTAGACAAATGAGAAACGTTAAAGTTTGGAAAACAGAGGATCCAGTGGGCAAGGCAACAACAATCCTTTATTTTTATTATTTTGTTTGTGGGGACATGCCTGATAGTGCTCTAGATCTACTCCTGGCTTCATGTCAGTGCTCACTCACTCCAAGTGGTGTGTGAAGCTATGTGGTGCTGGGGATGGAACCCAGGTTTTCTGCATGTGGCATTTTGAGTCCTGTTTTAGATATTAGAGACCTCTAAGTATATTCAAACAAGAGCCAAAGGATTCAAAAGAGAGTGAAAGCCCCACCTGCAGACTCTGGTTCACAAGAGTGAGCAGTATCTAGTGCCTAGAGAGTGGAACAGAGGTAGACGGTGCTTCTTGGCCTTGTAAATCAGGACAGGGGTTCAGATTGAAGAGGGGCCAGATGATAGTACTGTGGCTAGGGCATGTGCCTTGCACACACCACCCCGAGTTCAATTCCCGGCACCACATATAGTTCCCTGAGCCTCATCAGGAGTGATTACTGAGCACGGAGGTAGGAGTAAGCCCTGAGCACACCAAGTGTGACCCCCAAACCAAAACTACAAAGTAGCATGGAGGATTTTCATAGGGGGGAGCACGATGTTTAAATAATGGGTTCCTTGGGACCAGGGTGGGGGCTGGAAGTGCTAGAACACTTGTCTCGTATCCAGCACCCCCATGTGGCCGTGGTAAAAAGGAGGCGATGAACTGCCTTGAATTACATTCCTCATTCCCCCAAGCTTCCACCTGGTCACAGACCAAAGCCATATAGTGGTAAGAGGCTTGAGTCTGGCTTTCTTTAGCTTTTTCTGTTCTGCATCCTCCAGCCCTGTCTCAAAGTGTGGGGCTGCTTTACAGTTCACTTTGCCATTTGGTTGTTGTCGCCAGGGTGGAGGCAGCCTTCTTGGGGCTGAGGGTGAGTTCACTGTGGGGCAAACTCTGGGGGTTCTAAAACACAGCCTGGGCAACAGGGAGACCTGAGCCACACCTCTGTGTGTGTGTGTCCTGGCAGCAAACCTGCCTTTGAGCGAAGCCGCTGAGAAGTGTGTGTGCGGGGGTGGGGGGTGAGGGGTGGGGTGAATATTCCAGAGAAGGCCTAGCAGGGGCTTGTAGATGCCACTGCCACTTTTCATACAGTGGGGGTGGGGGTGTGCTCTCAGCACCCCCCAGCCACCTACCCCGCAGGCCTGAAATCTGAGGAAGGCCTGTGGTACACCAGCCTGAAGCAGATATGCTGGAAAGGGGAAGAGTTTTTCCTGTCTGACCACTCATAATATGTCTTTCCTGTTGGAGGTTTTTCAGGGCAATGACGACGCCACCACGGCCGTGGTGAACTCTCTGGACCCGCCACTCCTGACCCGCTTCCTCCGGGTGCACCCTCAGAACTGGGCCCAGCACATCGCTCTGAGGCTTGAGCTGCTGGGCTGTGCTGCCGCCTAGCAGAAACCGCCGAGTCCCAAGTGAATGGTCCGGAAGTGCACACGCACGGGTCCTTCCCGCCTGTGGACCTAGGGGCAGGCAGTTCCTCGGCCCCCGCCGCCACCCCAGCGGAAGCCAGGCGCGCCAGTGGGCAGAGGAGGTTCAGGATGTACGCACTTCGAATTAGGCTTCAGACACTGCCAGGAAAAGTATCCCTGATCTGTTATTGTGGTCCAGCGTTGGACCACACAGCTGCAGGGACCCTCTTACCATGCCTCACAGGCCAAACCTGGCCATTGTGACCATCTGCTAAGTAGAGATAAGAACTGCCCTGTGACCTCTGATTCTTGCTTCCTTATGCATACGTATGTCTCTCCTTTAGTTCTCTGGGGGCAGGTGAGTGGCATACTCTGACCTCAAAAGATGTGTGCTCATACGAGTAATTCAAGACACCCACACCCAGGCCTCTGAAATTACATGCAATCTCATTGATGCCTATTTATTTCTCTCTCACAGTAGTCCCGAGAGTCAGTCACATTTGGAAAAGGCCCTGGTTCCTTTCAAATCCTATCCCCTCCCCTGCAAAAATAAATGTTTCGATAAACACCCTGCTGTAATGCAAATCAGCAAGCAAATAAAAGGTTAGGATCCTAGAAGTATTGGAAACTTTAGTACAAAGTGATAATGTCCCCTTAAAATGTGTGGTGGCTGAGAAAATAAGCAATCATAACGTGCCTCCAAAGCTCATCATTTTAATATTCCTGCAGAAATATGAGGAAAGTTCTGACTGGCTGGGATAGGAGAGAGAACATTATCATTCAAACAAGGCCTCATTTTACTCACTCGGCTAATTCCTTGCTGAACCACAGCTAAAGGATATGGGGTGAAATTCTATTCCTTGTCCCAGTTACACAGCTGAACCATCAAGGAATCAAGAGAAAGTGAACATGGGAAAGCAGAGGCCTCTAGGCCCATTTCCGGCAAACAATAGGAAGCCGGCCCCCTGCCCCCAAGGCCCTGGCTATTGTCAGGGGCTACTGCTTCTGACTCTTTAACAAACTGCCAAGGCAGTTTAACAAACAAGACCAGGATATGCCAGGGAGTCAGGGAGGAAGCATCCAAAGTTTACAACCCGCATTGGATAACTGGTATTCTTACCCTAAGAAAACTACCAGCATCTCAGAGAAACCAACATAACAGTTGCATTTGTTTTTCCCATTTGTCTTCAAATCCTGCTTGACCCTAATCTGACCTGGGGGGGAGGGGCAATTAGAAAGTATTCTCGGGATATTCCTAATCTCTACCTGATGGTTTATAGATCTGTTAAATTCTGTGAGTTTAGGAACCAAGTTACAGAAACCTTTCCATTGTTTTGCCTTATAGCCTGGTAGACAAGTTAACACCAAAGACAACATGATTTTCTTTGCGGTAAAAAGTTGCCCAGCCTTACGCTTCATAATGGTATTTATCATGCTCTTCCAGTGACTGCCTGCATCTTTCTTTCTGCTGTGTTCTGGGAATGTATCCTTTTGTCTTACTGATGATTTCCTCAATAGTCACTTCAATAAAACATTGACATATGCAAACACGTGTCTTTGAAAGCTGTATTTTGTCACTGAAAATAAAAAAATGTGCACCCTGTTATTAACAATAGGATGGATGCTATGGAAAACACGAGCGAGTTAGAAACCAGATTAAATTTAACTCTACAAACTGATTTGATTTATGAGACATGCAATGAAATAAACTTGAGATGCAACGTTGGTCCTGAGAGATCATGTACAGAGAGAGACAGGGAGAAGTGTGGCCTAGGCATTAGTCAAGCTTCATCCGTACAGACAGCCTTTGTGCACACAGCACCTGCTCTTACTGAACTGTGCTTGAAAACATGTTCAGAGGGTAGATCTCATGTGATATGTTCTTACTGTGTAAACAGGGAAGCTGCTGGCAAAAATACCAGAGTGAATGTCATCAAATGCAGCAATACTAGAAAATTGTTTTGGGAGATGAAATAATAGTAACCAAAAGAAATGAATCTTCAGATCAGATAAAGAAAGGATAAGAACAAAGTCTAGCCTGAGGCCAATGATAAACTCCCTGTGTTGATGTGAAGAATCAGATTATGCATTGTCTCTGGCATAAACCTAGCCCAATAGGACACTAGACACTTCTTGCTAACCCCAAAGAAAGCAGGCCATTTCATAATGCTGTTGGAGTCACTTATAAGATTGCTGAGATCATAGCACATTACCAGATGAATGAGCAAATTCAATCACTTATGACATGCATTTTGTAACTTCAAATAAACAAATAAAATTCATTGAACAATCTCAAACTCAAAAGACTATAGTCTTTGGAAGATACATGCTATGATATGATTATTATAATAGGCATATCTATGGCTTAAAGGACTGGCACACATGCATAGCATGTGGGATGCCCAGGTGCCTCCCCTGGTAGGCCACATGATCCCCAAATAATGCCAGGAACAACTCCTCAGTGCCACACCAGAAATAACCCCTGAGCAACCACTGGGCGTGGTTCCCAAGCAAAAAGTAATTTTTTTAAATAGTGAGTTTGGTGAGACCTACATTTTTTTTTATTTTTATCAGTGAGACACCATGAGGTACAGTTGTAGACTTACAAATTTTTGTGCTTGGGTTTCAATTATACAATGATCAAATACCCATCCCTCCACCAGTGCCCATTTTCCACCACCACGGGTCCCAGTATCCCTCCCACCCCCCTTCCCTCCATCCCATCCTGCCTCTGTGGCAGTGTATTCCCTTTTGTTCTCTCTCTCCTTTTGGGTGTTGTGGTTTGCAAAAGAGGAAATGGGTGGCAATCATGTTTGGTCTATAATCTACTTTCAGCATGCTTCTCCCATCCTGGGGGGAGGCTCCTCCCAACACCCTTTATTTGGTGCTCCCTTCTCTATCTGAGCTCCCTTTTCCTCTAGCATGTGTGGCTGGCCTCCAAGCCATGGAGTAAAATTCCTGGTACTAATTTCGGCCATTCTTGGGTGTTAGTCTCCTATTTTGTTACTTTAAAAAAATAATATTCTTAAACTCTGCAAGATATTTTAGTTTGGGGTTTTGGACTACACTTTACAGTGCATCACTTCTCGGCTTTTATTTCTGCTTTATTTCTGGGTCACACCCGGCGATGCACAGGAGTTACTCCTGGTTCATGCACTCAGGAATTACTCCTGGTGGTGCTCGGGGGACCATATGGGATGCTGGGAATCAAACCTGGGTCAGTCGCGTGGAAGGCAAACGCCCTATCTGCTATGCTTTGCTCCAGCCCCACTTCTTGGCCTTTTGCCTTGATCAAGTGTACACTTAGCAGTGCTCATGTATCACTCCTGGCAGGGCTAAGGGTGACTGAATGTTGTGTCAGGGATCAAACCCAGGTGTTCTGCATCCTTTTTTGGTGGATAGACTATGTGGAAAATGAACTTTATGATGACAAAATACAGACTGTAACATTCATGTTTTCCAGCTAAGGCATGGCTTTATGGGAAAGAACTATTTCTAGATGACTACCACTGAGGGCCTGAGGCTGAGGGCTTGAGGGAGAGTCCCATAAAACCTCAAGAAGACTGCAGCACTGATTAGTACCATCCCACCATCTCCCCGTCTTAGCCGTCTGACAGTGTGCGTCCAGTGGCTTTGCTATCTTCCCAGTGGTGTGCAGCTGTCATGTCTCTACTTCAGAATGTTCTTATCCCCCATGAAATCCCATCCCTCTGAAGCAATTGCTCCCCATTCTGGTAACCATTAAATTCCTCTCTGTGGGCTGCACTTTTCTATGGACTAATCCTATAAATAGGATCACACATCGTATGGCTTTTGTTCCTGGCTTCTTTCATCAAATTTTAAGGCCCATCCATGTTGCATATGACAATTCTTCCTTCTTGTAATGCTAGAGTTATATCCCATTGGGGACCTACTACATGTTGTCTATTGTGACTTCTCCTTTTTGACTATTGTGACTAGTACTGCTATAAACAGTACTTTGTTTAAACACCGGTTTTCAGGTACTTGGTGAGGCTGGGTCCTGTGGTAACTTCAACTTATTGAGGAGCTAACAAACTTTTCCATGGTAGTCCAGTCACATCATATGGGTACACTACTGCCAGAAATGTATGGGGTTCCAATTCCTCCACAATTATTTCCATTTTCAAATGCTCAATCTAGCTGGTGTGAAATGGATCTCATTGTGGGTTGTTATATATTTCCTTAATGATTAATGACGTTATACTTCTCATGTACTTGGAGAAATGCCTATTCAAGTCCTTTGTCCATTTTGTAAAAAATTGAATTGTGCTATTGTTAAGTTTTACTAGTTCTTTATAGTGTCTTGATCTTAGAGCTTTTACTAAGTATATGATTTGAAAATATTTTTCCAATACTATGGATTGTTTTTCATCTACCGATGGTGTTCTTTTTTAATTTTATTATAACACTGTGATTAACCAAGTTGTTCATTACAGTTATTTCAGGCATTAAATGTTTCAACATCGGTTTCAGCGCCAGTGTGACCTTCCCTCCACCAATGTCCCCCCAGTTTCCCACCCACCACCCCAGCCTGCCTCCTTGCAGGCATAAAGAAATTTACTTCATATTGTATGTTACAACACACAAACAAATGGAAATATCAAAAATTAGATCAGGGGCTGGAGCAATAGTACAGTGGATAGGGCATTTGCCTTGCACACAGCTGACCCGGGTTCAATTCCCAGAATCCCATGTGGTCCCCTGAGCACTGCCAGGAGAAATTCCTGAGTGCATGAGCCAGGAGTAAACCCTGTGTATCACTGGGTGTGACCCAAAAAGGAAAAAAATAGATCAATAAGAATCAATTTGTGATAATTGTTATGTCTCACAATGTTACTGAAGTCATTATTTGAGGATCTACTGTGCGAGTTAGTACTAGTTGAGCTTTCTGTGTCACTGTTTAGGCTCACTGAGCCTGGTGGGCTTGTATGCAACTTTCCCATTACATTTGCTCTGATCTTACTGGGCTGACAGTACTAAGAAAATTGGAGCTTCCATGTGACTATATAGCAGCTGTGAAGTCCAGGAGCTATATAGAACTGGAACAATTTGGTGGCTTAGCAGTTTGGTGAGGTTCAGTTGTGAAGCTGGGACATGTCTATGTCCACGGCTGTTAGTTGTGTCTACAGGCTGCTGTGCCTTCAGCTAGAAAGAGGAATCTCCCGGCCCCATTCCAATAATGTCCCAGAGTTCTCAGCCCAGACTTCTCTAGGAAAATTTGGTGGTATCATGTTCTTTTGGAAATTAGTTGTGGAGCTGGGCCTTTTTTTCTGCCGGCAAGATGATCTGATGGTGTGCTTTGATGCACACACATTTTATCCTCTATATTTATGTCATTTTTCTTTCTTCTCTTCTCTTCTCTTCTCTTCTCTTCTCTTCTCTTCTCTTCCTTCCTTTCTTCTTTCTTTCCTTCTTTCTTTCTTTCTTTCTTTCTTTCTTTCTTTCTTTCTTTCTTTCTGTTTTTGGCCACATCCACCAGTGCTCAAGGGTTATTTTTGACTCTGCGCTTAGGGATCACTCCCAGCACTGCTCAGGGGACCTTATGGGATGCTAGGGATCGAACTTGGGCCAGTCGCACTCAAAGGAAATACCCTACCCACTGTACTATCACTCAGTCCCACACTTTTTCTTTTTTCTTTTGGTTTGTGCTTTTGATATCACATTTAAAAAAATTTCCTGAGGGCTCAGAAAGCAGCTCAGTAGTAAGGGGCATGGCCTTTCATGTGCAGAGATCTGAGCTCAGTCCCCGGTACCGCATGGCCTCCATGACACATTACTGGATGTCCTGGAGGCCCCTGAACTCTTCAAGACCAAGCATTGAGCCTTTGAACACCTTTAGTAGGGTATTGCAGGGAATGGTTCCTAGACTCCCTGAGAACTACTTAGGAGGCTCCCAAATAAGAAGAAATCTTTGCTGAATTCAGTATCATGAAGCTCTACACCTATATTTTCAGCTAATAGGGTTTTTAAGCTTTAGTTCTTAGGTTTATTTGTGGGATTGGGGGTTTTGTTGTTGTTGTTGTTTGATTTTTGAACCACAAGCAGTGCTCAGGGGTTACTACCAGCATGGTGTTTGTAGGTTTTTCCTGGTGGTGCTTGGGAGAATAGTATGGGTGTTGAGGATTGAAGCCAGGCCTCCTGCATACGAAGCATGTGTTCCAGATCATTGAGCTGTCTCTCTGTCCCCTTTATTTATATAGGTTACCCTTTTATTTTTGATATTGTGCCACAACTTGCAGTGCTTGGGGAACATACAATACCAGGAGTTGAGCCCAGGTTTCCCAGATTCAAAGGATGTGCTCTTGACCCAAAGGTCTAGAGCCATCTTCCTATCCCCTTTTAATAAATTTTTAAAGTTATGTTTGCAGTGTGAAGATTTCAACTTCATTCTTTTGCGTGTGGATAACCGGTTATACAGCATGATTTATTTTTGGTTTTGGGGGTCACATCCAGCAGTGCTCATGAACTATTACTGGCTCTGTGCTTGGAGGTCTCTCCTGGTGGTATTTGGGGAGCCATGAAGTGCCAGGGACAGAACCTGGAACTTTTTGCCTGCAAATCATGTGCTTAGCACACTTAGCTATCTAACCAGTCCCATCTTGATTTATTGAAGAGATGGTTCTCTTCCTATTGGGTGGTTTTGACACCCCATTCTCATTGAAAAGAAATTGACTGTAAGTATTTAGGTTGAGTTTTGGAGTCTCAAATTGATTCTCATCTATCCTCATACCAGTACCACACCATTTTGATTACTGTAGTTTTATAATAAGTTTAAAGCCAAAAATGTAAGTCTTCCAACTTTGTTCTTCTTTTTCACGATTGATGTGACTAACCAGTGTCCTTTGCAATTCAATGAGTTTGAAGATCATGTTGTCTGCTTCAGAGGTAAAAGGGGTCATTGAATCTATAGATTATTTGGGAGATTATCGCCAGCTTAACAACATTAAATTATTGAATGCTGCATAAGAACTTTAAACAAAGAAATAAAATTGTTATTGTTTTCAGATTAAAATAGTTGTACATGTTGAAAATTCAAAATAATCTACAGGTAAGCTACTCAAATTAATAAGTCATTTTAGAAAACTTTCGGAGCAGCTCTGAAAATCATATACCTTTGTACCAGAAAAAAATGTTAGCAAAAAAATTACAGGTAACATTTACAATAATGTCAGAAATAACAAATACTTAGAAATAAAGTTTATGAAAGATATCCAAGAATTCTAATTAAAAATACAATTTTATTGGGAACTATCCTAAAAGATATAAATAATTGAAGGTAAATGCAATAATCAAGGATGAGAACAAATATTATAAGGATATAGTGATTCTCAAATTGATCTATAGATTCAACATAGTCACAATATAGATTCTAACATCTTATTTCTCGCAGAATTCAAGCATGTGAAAATGTGAAAGTCCAATAACATCCAAAATATTACTGATACCAAGATTTTTTTAATTCATTGCAAATATCAAAATACGGTATTGGTCCAAGGATAGACAAATAGATCAGTGGAACATATTAGAGTCTAGAAGTAGACCTACATATTAATGGACACTTGATTTATGGCTATAAAATTGTTCTTTAGAGGAGTGATACTGAGTCAACCCAGAATCCATATGAAACAGTGAAATTTGACCCCCTCCTTATACTATACTGTCACTGTCACTGTCTTCCCATTGTTCATCAATTTGCTCGAGCAGGCACCAATAATGTCTCACAACAAATTGTGAGACTTGTTACTGTTTTGGGCATATTGAATACGTCATGGGCAGTTTGCCAGGCTTTGCCGTGCGGGCGAAGCTTTGCCCCTCTCCGTATCTTGTGCAGCTCTCTGAGAGGGGCGGAGGAATCGAACCCCAGTCAGCCACGTGCAAGGCAGATGCTCTACCTGCTGTGCTATGGCTCCAGCCTTATACTATACAAAGTTTTTTGTAAAAAAAATCAGTTTCAAATGAGTTCAAGTTCTATTGATAGCAACAATAACACTTCTGGTGGGACTGGAGAGACAATGCAAGAATTAAGTTTAGTTAATATATTTTATAAAATAAATGTATATAATAAATTTATCAGTAACTTCCTATATTGCTTTTGGGCTTCATAACATGTTGGAATAGCTTATGCGAATATCCACTCATATTGCTGGTGTTAGTTGGGAGCGCGGCCACCGGTGCTCAGGGGACCATGTGGTGCTCTACCTCTCGAACCACATTCCTGTCCTCCAATCACATTTTTCTTCTAATGTTTATATATGGTTTCATTTTGATTCACCTAAGTTTCTTTTTCTTTTATCATTTTTGGCTTTTTTGGGGTCACATCCAGAGATATTCAAGGGTTACTCCTGCGCTTCACTCAGTAATTACTCTTGGCAGTGCTCGTGGGATCATATGGAATGCTGGGGATAGAACCTGGGTTGGCCATGTGCAAGGCAAATGCCCTACCTGCAGTACTATTGCTCTGGTCCGGGCTTTAATTTTCCTGTGCAGGGATCTCATTTCAAAATAGTAAAATGGGGCTGGAGTGATAGCACAGCGGGTAGGGCGTTTGCCTTACATGCGGCCGACCCCGGTTCAATTCCCAGCATCCCATATGGTCTCCCGGGCACTGCCAGGGATAGTTCCTGAGTGCATGAGCCAGGAGTAACCCCTGTGCATTGCCGGGTGTGACCCAAAAAGCAAAAAAAAAAAAAGTAAAATGAACAGTCAATCATCTCAAGTTCTTGGCAAATTATCTCTCTCCCCATGAAGTGCCATGTTTATCCTCTATCAAAGCCCCATAGAGACACTATCATAAGACAAGTCTATACCATGTGTATATTTTAGTATATAGGCATGTCTATGAGGCTGGATAAAAAAAATGTCTTGGAATTCTTCAGACCTAAGTGCCTGATTCAGAGCTCCTGTTAGGTTGGTGGTTCCCCCCTCCCATTTTTTTGGGGTCACACGCTGCAATGCACAGAGGTTATTCCTGGGTCTGCGCTCAGGAATTACTCCTGGTGGTGCTCAGGGGACCATATGGGATGCTGGGAATCAAACCCAGGTCAGCCGCATGCAAGGCAAACACCCTACCCGCTGTGCTATCGCTCCAGCCCCGAGGTTGGTGTTTTAATGTCAATACAGATACATATCATAGAGAAGATGTTCAATTTCTAAGTGCACACTAGAGAGAGACAAGAAGAGAAGCGAACACCTACTTTATGATGATTTAGGTGACATCATAAAGAACTCCAGAGTCATTGTGGGGAGCTGGGCACTTTTCCCGGACTCTGCTGAGTTCTGAAGCTCGAGACCTTCACTCACTTACTTCTTTGGAATCACTGGTGCTAAGTCAGTTTCCAGGTCAGCGGCTTTCCCCAACACATGGGTCTCTTTAAACCCTATCAAACAAAGGATGAGTCAATCAGGTGTTTTGGTGGGGTGTGGGTGCAGGTTTAGGCTACTCTCAGCTGTGTGATTGGGGTCACTTCCAGTGGTGTTTGGGGGACCATGTGGTACTTGAGATCAAACCAGGGTCAGCCATGTGAAAGGCAAATACATTAACCCCTGTATACTCTCTCGATCATCAGTTATAAATGTCTTAAGTAACTGTAAGCCTGGGCCAGATAGAAAGTACAGGGGCAGGGTGTTTGCCAAGCACATGGCCAACCTGGGTTTGATTCCCCGCACCCCATATGTTCCCCCAAACACTGCCAGGAGTGATCCATGAACTCAGAGACAGGAATAAGCCTTGAGCTACCCCAGGTGTGGCCCATCCCCACCAAAAAATAACAAACCCATGTTGGAATGGTTAGAATAGGTGGTTACTTTTCTCATAACCGAATAGCTCAGAAGTGAGCAGATAGAAGTGTTGGGTATTGGCTTGAAACTATAAGATCCAGAATAAATTCCATTTTCTTACCTTTTCTTCATGTACATTGCCTCATGATGTCATGAAGGCTGGCTGCCTCAATTTCATTTGACACTTTTGAGGGAGGTGGGGCTAGACCCAGTGGTACTATGCTTGATAGCTACTTCTGCTTCTCTCTCTCTCTCTCTCTCTATATATATATATATATATATATATATGTGTGTGTGTGTGTGTGTGTGTGTGATTACGATGAGTTTAGTGGAGAAGAACCAAACTGCCATGTGAGAGAGTGGTACAATTTTCATAAATGCAAATCCTCACTGGGAAGGAGATATCATGGCATCTGAATAAGGTGAGGCCATGAGAAGCAGGGAAATTAGATGTGGTGGGTAGTGGTGATGGAGGTGAGAAGTGGCAGGGTTGTGGGTTCGTATTTTAGACCCTTTGAAAAGATTAAGATGTGGAGAGAAAAAGAGGAGACAGGGATGACCGTAGGTTTTGGCCTGATGAACTCAAAGTCTCTACTCATTATGGGCATTAAGTTTAGGAGGGACGGTCTTATATCTTATCAGATAGAACGTAGTACATTTTTTGTTTTGTTTTGATGAAGGGGGAATGGAAAGTGACAGTGTTGAAATTCGGCAGGGTCAGCTAAAAAATTATGTGTTTAGGTAAGTCTTTTGTAAAAAATATATAAAACCACCATTTTCTAAGCTTTCAGACAATACTGCTTTGGACAACATTGAACAGAAAGATAGCTGAGTTTATCTTTGAGCGCCGGGAGCACACCACCATGTCCACCTGCAAGCTGTTGTGCATTGGAATGTTGCTATCCCATCTGACTTGCATCCTCATGGATAATGAAGCTCTCAAGGATACCAGAGACTCTGACCCTGCCCCTGATTATGAAAAAAATGCAGGCAGGAAACCATCTGTAATGGGTGTGTTGCTGTTAGAATGAGAGTTCCAATCTTAGAAAAACATTAAGATTTGTATCTTAGATCAGGGAGACCTGTTTTTATGCTAAAACAGTATTTGCAGGATACTTGTGAGGCCTGAATTGGCTTCAGAACCCCTTTACAGAAGGGCCTGGGTCAGGAGTTTGCAGAGGTGCAGCCCAAGTCATAGAAACCCACCTTCCATTAATGTGACAAATGCTTCCTGAGGACAAAGGGTTGACTAATGTTGTTTTGGAGGAGAGGTCAGGGAAGACATGAGAAAGGAACTGACATCCAAGCTAAATCTGGTGATCCACTGACCCAGAGTCTAAATACTCCCAAGGCCCCACTTCAGCACATACACTCTGTTCAAACCATTCCCCTGCCTCTTTCCTGGTGTTGAAATCCCTTCCTCCCTCACTTTCTGGAGTAAAGTCCCTGGAGCTGAAGCATCCCTCTATAGTTCCTTCTTCTGGCAGCCCAGCTACTTCCTCTTCCAGGAGCTCCTGGGTAGCCTTTTCTCTTTCTGGGGCACTTCCTGCCCTCAGTCTCTAAGAGAACTCCCAAGAGCCCATAAGCAGTGACACGCTAGTTCTCAATTCTTGCCCCTACTTCACCAAATTCTCATTTACTTATTAAGGCTTCCAAACAGTCCTTAAGATAGATAATCAGAGGCTGTCATCATTGATGCTATTTGACTTATGAAAGGGCAAAGATGAGGTCTATCTGAGGATTTTTTAAAAAAAATTTCAAATGAATGTCCCCTGAAGGTCTTAGGAGCATTTCAACAAAGAATAGGCTCTAAAAAGATAGGAGATAGCTCCAAAGAGATGGGCCACACACTTAGCATGTGGGAACCCTTGTTTCAATCTGGCACCACAAGGTTCCCAGAGCACTGAGATGGAAGTAGCCCCCAAGTAGACAAGGCGTAGCTCCCAAACCAATCAACCTAAAAGAAGAATCTGGGCTCTGTGGACAGCTGTTTGAAAGGGAACCAGCTTTGAAATAGCAGACTCCTTTGAGTTGACATTGCCTTAACTAACCACTGTGCTCTCTCTACAGAAAAACTGAAATCTTGGTTGAATGACTTTAAGGAGTACCTGTGGGATCTCATTAAGACCTCAGTCCCTCCAGTAGCCATTATTGCATTTTTCATCTCCACTATGCTCTTGGGAAGTATCTGCTGCCTCACGTAAGCTGTTGCCGAACAGGAGAGGGGAGGGAACGGAGCAATCATGTTCTTCATCAGCCTGTCCGTCTCACATGAGGGAAATTTATGAAGGCCGGGCAATCTGAGAACACATCTCTGAAAGGCATGGTACATACTCTCTTTTAAGCTCCCTCTAAATTCTCTCTTTTCTCTTTTTTTGCTGTCCCTGGTGGGGCTCAAACCCAAGTATCATGCATGCAAGGCAATGGCATTCTCAGTGAGCCATGTCCCAGGGCCCTTTCTATATTTCTTTTCCTCCAGTTTGTTCTATTCAGGACTGATGACTTACTGGTGATATTTAATAAGAGCGTTTGCAAGTGATCTATTTTTTAACAACATCTGGCAATGTGTAGGGGTTACTCCTGGTTCTACACTTAGTAATTACTCCTGGCAGTGCTTAGGGGACCATACGGGATATTGGGGATCAAACCTGGGTAGCTGCATGCAAGGCAAGTGCCCTGCCCACTGTGACTATCTCTCTGACACCATCAAGTGATCTTTTAAAATTAACTTTATTATCTTCTCTTCCTCTGGTGAAGACTCTTCTCTTTTGAACACTTATCTGTCTCTTTCTCTCCCCTCACATCTCTCTATATTCCTTTCAATAAAATAATTTTAATGAAATAAAATAAACTTCACTTAATCACTTAAATCACTTAACTTCCCGTTAGTCGTCGATTTGCTCGAGCGGGTGCCAGTAATGTCTCCATTTGTCCCTGTCACGTGCTAGTGTAGCCCAATGGCATCTGTTCGCTCCGGGAACATGAAGGGCCTCAAACCGATCGTTCATGATCTTGACGAAGAAGTCTGACCATCTGGTAGGTGGGCGGCCACGCGGTCTTTTGAAATCCCGTGGAATCCAGTCGGTAACAGCTCTAGTCCAGCGGTCGTCTTTAAATCTCATTACGTGACCAGCCCATCTGATTTTCGACACCTTGGCAAATGAGACAGCGTCCCTGATTCTTGATCATCGACGGATGTCAGAACTCCGGATTCTTTCTCTCATTTGAGTGAAACGTGATATTCCAAGCATAGCTCTTTCTATTCTTCTTTGGGAGACCTGAATAGCGTTCTCATCTTGTTTGTGTAGGGCCCAGGTCTCTGAGGCATATGTTAATGCAGGAAGAACAGTGGAATCAAAGAGATGTGCCCGGAGCCGGAGGTTCTTCGTCCTCTTAGCTATTTCTTCGACGTTCTTGAAGGCGTTCCAAGCCGCTCTCTTCCTCCTGCGCAGCTCGAGTGCCAGGTCATTTGTCATGTTGACCTCTCGACCTAGGTACACATAGCTGTTGCATTCGGAGATAGTCGTTCCGTTGAGAGCGAATGGGGCGTCAGGAACGAGGCTAAATAAAAATAAAATAAAATAAACTTCATTAACTCCAAATTATTCTTCCTTTTGGTTCAGGAACTATACAGTTAACTGTTTTTAGTTGCCTGAGAAAATGAGCAAAATATTTATCTATGCAAATGATTGAAAACCAAAAAGATTCTTGAAATGGTTAAAAAAAATAGTTCAGCATAGCTTTAACATCCTAAACTTTGTTAACTTAAAATAAGCTTTTTATCAAGAGGTGACTGCTTGCCTGTCCCTGCCCTTGCTGCTAAACAGACCAGAAAGCCACAAGAAATCAATAGAGAAGGGAGTCATAGTCCATGGGGAGAAGCGTCGAGGGTGTGTGAGGGAATTAAAGGTCTGTTCAGAAGTCGCCATCTCATAAAGCATCTGAGGGCAGAGATCAGGTGTGGGGTGTGGCATTCCCATCGGGCTCCTGATTCCTCTCCTCAAGAGGAAGACATGCTTTGGAGGAGCTCAGGAGAGAACATGGGATAAGGCACAAGCTTCACACGCAGGCAACCCTGGTTTGATCCCCAGCAACACGTTGTCTCTGGAACATCACTTATAAGCAGCCCTTCTAGAAGTTCCTGAGCATAGCCAGAGTAGTCTGAGCAATCTCTGGCACTGCAGGGCCCAAATAGCACTGCATCTCTGGGCCCTTGAATTCATCTGTCAGCTCTGTAGGCTGGAACACTGCTCGCTTGGAAGACCAAAAAGGAAAAGGGAAAAAAGGGAAGACCAAAAAGGAAAAGGGAAAAAATGCATGTAGGAAACAACCTTGGATTTCATTGCTGGCACAGTAACATAATAGAAGGTGAATAGATTCTAAGTTGGCAAAATTTTTGAGAGAAGCTTATTGCTAATAAAGTCATGTGCCAGAACTTTCTGAGCTCTGTTGATTGAGCCTTAAATAGTATTTGCAGCTCTGGTCTTCAGCACTTCTGGGAGCTTGGTTTTATAGTCTCTGGATCCTGGCCATTGATGGGGTTACACGGCAGCTGGTGGGTGTAACTGTCTAGCTACTGGAAGATGGGGGGTCTGGGTGGAGGAGGCCTAGTCCCGAACCGAGCAGGCTTGGAGATCTCAGCCCCGGGTCCTGCACACCTGGTTTCCTCTACCAGTTCTGATCTGTCTTCCGGCAGCTGAAGACCTCCAGGACCCAGCCACAGCCATGCTGAGACCACACTCCACACGCTTAGACAAGCCTCATACATGAAGGAACTGGCAGAGAAACCCAGGTGTGTGGGACCCGGGGCTGAGATCTCCAAACCTGCTCGGTTTGGGACTAGGCCTCCTCCACCCAGACCCCCCATCTTCCAGTAGCTAGACAGTTACACCCACCAACTGCCGTGTAACCCCATCAATGGCCAGGATCCAGAGACTATAAAACCAAGCTCCTGGAAGCTCCTATTCTCTAATTCTCACTCTCAGAGAACCCGGCAGGTTACTGCGAGTATCTTGCCCGCATATATGCCTGACTGGGAACACCTATAAAGGTGATTAGAGGCTTCTCTAAAAGCCTCCATCCCTCTCGGAGAGCCCGACAAGCTACCAAGAGAATCCTGCCCACACGGCAGAGCCTGGCAAGCTACCTGTGGTGTACTTGATATGCCAAAAACAGTAACAATGATGGTCCTCATTCCCCTAAATGAGGGGAATTGCAAGAGCCCCCAATATGCCATCGGGCTACACTAGCACGTGGCAGGGACAAATGGAGACATTACTGGCACCCGCTTGAGCAAATCGATGAATGATGGGGTGGGTGATAGTGATGATAGTGATAGTGATAGTGATAGTGATCTTCCAAAGGACCCTAGAAGATCCTACTCCCATCATCTGTTCTAGATGCAAAGAATGATGGCCAGAAAGTGTCTCCTGGGGTTGGGGGGGGGATGAGTACATAGAGCCAGGAGTACAATAGGGCCTCCCTGTTGATTAGGGTCCCAGGAGTCAACAAAGTAGAGACTGTTGTGTGTCCCACTCTTCATCTTTCCAGATGGGCATGTTGGTGCTGGTTCTCCTCCTCCTACTTCATCATTGGACCAGGAGGCAGGAAGTAGGGATCAGGGCAGATAACTGGTTTTACTTTGTAGGTCACTTAGCACAGAGCAATCACACTCAGATGGAGAGTGACCAGCCTCACCCGGACACTGGACTTTGAGCTGGGCTCAGTGATGGATGTGGATTTCATTCAGGGGGAAAACTGTGCCATGGTTCAGGTGTTCTGGAAGCAGATGGTGAGACAGGAACTTGTCATGAGGGGTATTATCAGGGATCAAAGTCTGCGGGTGCCTGGGAGAGAAGTCCAACAAAGTTCTATCTACCTCTTTTGATTCTGTTCCCACCCCCTTCCCTCCCCCCCACACACACCTTATCCGGAAATGGCTGAACCTCATTGCACAGCTCATAGATAGGAGGGCAAGAGAACAGCGTTTATCCATCATTTCAGACATGGTTTCTTGGGCACAGGCTAGTGAGCCCACTGATCAGCTTCTGTGGCATTGGTTCAACACACGTGTTCAGAAGGACTTTTGTGACGATAAAGCTGGCAGCAGGCCAAGAGCAGTACTTCCTTCTTTGAAGTAAGTGGCTCAGTCTGAGGAGAACAAATAAGCTGGTGAAAGGAACATCGGTGAGGACAGTTAGGGCAGAGGGCAGGAGATCGGGAAAACAGCATCTCTGAGCCAGCAGCACTATTAAACAAAGGTAAACTAAGTATTCATGGGGAAACAGAAATGTAGGAGACACATGACCCATTTCTTTGTAAAAGAAAAAAATAATGCAGCTGAAATTTCCCCCATAGTAAACCAAACTAAAACCAAGCCAGCAATTAAAAGTACAACTTGTGTTAAAGAAGAAAAGAACTTCCATTTGGAGTCTTACAGGGCAGAGCCAAGTCCCAGGAGTGGGCACTGGGGACAGGGCCCAAAGTATAGTGTCAGTAACGCTGCTGCATTTCATGTTTCACACTGACAGTTGCGAGCCCTTTCCCTGTCTCTTTCATCCTTCTCTCAGACACCTCGTGGACCTCCCTAGCCGCTGTAGAACAGCGCTCCTGCACAAATGCTCCCACAAGCCTTACTCCTCTCCAGCCACTCCACGGCCACAGGGGGTTGAAGTGGCACTAATTAGCACAGCAAGACTGAGCAAGACGGTCACATGAAAGCAGGAGTGAATTCGTGTCTGTGTGGTTGGGGGAGGGGACAAAGAAGCAGATGATCGCAGAGGGTTTTTACAATTTAATCCAATTCTTATTAAAAATTGTGTGGGATTAAAACCCGTTCAAAACCTAAGCAATGAATGGAATAGAGATGAGGAGGAAGGAGGAGGCTGTTTTGATAATCGTCACTACTGCTATTGTCACTTATTGTCTTTTCTATTTCATGTAGTTGCACTTGTTTTCCCACAGAAATTATCGCTTGATCAGTCCATTTTAAAAGTCATAGATCACCTGTCTATGTCTGTCTCTAACCCTGTGTAAAAGAAACACTTTCTTACTCTTATTTTCTCAAGTCATCAGAGTGTTTTGTCTGTATGAAATTATGTATCTCCTATTAATAGAGGAAGCTGTCTAGAATACTACCTTGGAGAACGCGATGTGACTTTCCAGTCACTGTGCACATCGGGGATTTAACTGCACTCCAGTATTCATCGTAGTCTCCTCCTTTTTTCAGCCTCATCGTGGATGAACTAATGTAATCAGTCAATGGAATCAAGAACTGGAATTTCACTGGGCAAAGTGGGATTCTGTTGTGCTGGAAACAACACCGTGGAGAATGCTGTCAGTTATAATGAAGTCGTCTTTTATTTGAAACTGACTTTGTCTTTATTTTCATAGAAAGACGGGAGTAACTTTATTTCTGCTTTGATTATAACTGTAATACATGTCTTTTGCAGAAAATATTTCAGAAAACACAGAGAAAAGAAAAAGTACCCATAGTCTTCATAGCCAGAATGTAATGCTTCTAGTATCTTGGTGTGTCTCCTTGTTAAATTGTTGTCCAGGCATATGTAATCTGTTCTGTGCAACACAGTTCTGCCTCAATAAATTATGTTATGAGGCCTTGGAACTTGGATGCCAATTAAGTTTGCTGGATTAAGCAAATTTGAACAAATATTTTGTTTCTTTATTCTTTCTTTCCTGTTTTTTGCTTTTTGGGTCACATCTGGCGATGCACAGGGGTTACTCCTGGCTCTGCACTCAGGAGTTACTCCTGGTGGTGCTCAGGGGACCATATGGGATGCTGGGAATCGAACCTGGGTTGGCCACGTGCAACGCAAACGCCCTACCCACTGTGCTATCTCTCCAGCCCCATTCCTTTGTTTCAAGGACTTGTTAGTCCTTTCATGGACGAAAAGGAGTCTTTACCTGAGGAAATAACAGAAGCATTTCCCCAGTTTGCACATGGGTTTCTAAACAGGGTCCTCTGCTCTGCAAGGTGTGCTCTTCCTCATGGCCAGGTACCTGGCTCAGCCTTTTGTCTGTTCGGCCTATCTGCTGGTGATGCTGCTGCCTCCTTGCCCCTTCCTATGGCCTGGTGTGGAGCACCCTTCCTGTCAGCCCCTACCTGGATCCGGTCATTGTCTGTGCCTTGGCTCACTATGATCATGCTGCACTGCCCTCCTCCCACGTGCCTTCTCAAACATTTTCTCTTTTTGCTGGTTTTCTTTATACTTTGTGCCCGTGGTGGTGACAGCATGCAGTTGAATTTTGCTGGTCGTTTCTTAAGGTTCTTTCTGGTGTCCCAGAAGTTTTAAACCTCTTATTGTTCATTTTGTGAGGGCTGGGTGGGCTGTTGGGGCCACATGTAGCTCTGTGTTCAGGGGGTATTTGTTGTCTGGAGATTGGGAGCAGGCCACACCTTCTGCAGCCACACACTTCACCTCCAGCATCACCTCTCTTGGCCCGAAACTTCTTTGGAGTGTAGTTGACAACAACAAAGGAACATGTCAGAGAGTTGTTGTCATGGGGGTGGGGGACAAGGCAGTTAATATGGCACCTCTTAGTCCCCTGGCACTACCAGGAGTGATCTCTGAACAGTAAACCAAGAACAGACCCTGAGCACCACCACAAGTGATCCCCAAACCAACCAAACAAAAGAATTGTCACAAAGAGAACCCATTGTTGTCATCTCCTACACCCACACCACCAGTACCCTCGTGGCCCCCGTGGAAACTGCACTAAGTTCTTCCAAAGCTGTGGTCTGTGCGTGCTGGGGAATTCTCTTTCACTTGCCCCATGTGTGGGAACTCCCCAACGGTTTCCAGGGAAGCCCACTCTGGCCAGATCTGTCAAGTGTCTCACTCAGACTAGCAAGCAAGGGAGGTGGCTTACTTCCTTTCCAAGGCATCTCGATTCTCATGGGGACACGCAGTGCCTGGGTGGGATTTCTGAACCACTTGGTCTAAGTGACCGAGGCAGCACAATGTGTCCCACACAGCAGAAGATGCCAAAATCCATACAATACTGTCATCAGTCTTTCAACTGTCTGCAACGCAGTGGCTGAAAAATGGCATCCACTTTTCCCCTCCCTTCCCTGGAGCTCCAGCCCCTCCTGGGACAAATGTGTACAAATCTTGTGCTCTGCCACTCAGCCATACCCCAGCACTCCTGTACTTAGCATTCCCTGAAAACTGAAAGGATTGAAGCCTCTTTCGTGTGCTTGTGACACATTTGTATTTCTCTTCTATGAATTTTGCCCATTTTTCTTTTTTCTTTTTCATTTGTTTGAGGGCCACACCCAACTGTGCTCAGGGATTACTCCTGGCTCTGCACTTATGGTGCCCTAGTTGGGCTCAGGAGACCGTAAGGGGTGTCGGGGATTGAAACTGGGCCAGCCATATGGAAGGCAATGTCCTACCCACTGTACTCCACTCTGGGCCCACATTTTCCCTATTTATCTAATATGTAGCTTGAGTTCTTCTTTTCTGATTCAGGAGAATTTTTTGGAAGGGGGCGCTTCCAGCTGTGCTGGAGGTGTCACTCCTAGCAGAGCTGGTAGGATCAGTCCCAGCAGTGTGGAGGGAAAGGCGTGGAACTCAGCGCTCCTACCTTCCAAGCACAGGCTCCAGTCCTTTGAGCAACCCCCTGCCCCAGGAGTTGCTTACGCATTCTGGGAACGAATGTTCTGTAGCCTTGATAAGTGAAACCAGCTCCTCCCAGTTTGAGGATTGTGTTTTTACTTTTTGTATAGTGTATTTTGAGGATTAGAAGGGCATATTTATTTCTTTAATTTGGGCCTCGCAGACTATGTTGAAGGATCTTGGGGACCGCTAGGGGCAATACTTGGCCAACTAGGCTGGGCTGCTCAATGCATGGGGCTGAGGATGTGGCGCTGCTTGGACCTTGCAGTACCAGCACCTCCCTGGTGGTGCTCAGGTAGGGATATACAGTGCCAGGGATAGAACCAGGGCTGGAAAAACATGCCTCTCTAGCCCCTGATAGCACAGTGGTAGGGCGTTTGCCTTGCGCACAGCCAGCCCGGCCGAGCCGGGTTCGATTCCTCCGCCCCTCTCCGAGAGCCTGGCAAGCTACCGAAAGTATTCAATATGCCAAACACAGTAACAAGAAGTCTCACAATGGAGACGTTACTGGGCCCGCTTGAGCAAATCGATGAACAACGGGAGGATAGACAGATAGACAGACATTATTGTATTTTAGGTAACATAGTTACAATTACTGTATGTATGTATGGTCCTGATGTTCCTGCATCTCACCACCACCACCAAAGTGCTCCAGCTCCTCCACCACTGCCCTTACGCACTCTAGTCCACTCTTCCTACCCCCACCCTCTCAGTTTTATAATCTGTGGCCAGGAATTGCTCATCATCAGATGCTGGTTATTCCCTTGTTTGGTTGCTTCACATACCACAGGCAACTGTGATCATCTGCTGTTTCATACTAAATTTTTATAGGGGCTCCACATGTGCTGCTCTCGCCTAGTAGAGCTAGTGATCACTAGGGCCTAGAGGGAGTTGGTACTGGGAGGAACATGAGACGCTGGGGATGGAACCCAGGGCCTTGCACGTAATAGGCATGTGCTCTCCCACTTGAGCAACTTCCCCGGCCCTGGGAGTACTTTATTTTCACATGTCCAACTTGGGAATCACTTTCCTCCATTAGAGTTTCTGATGTCTGTTGAAAAAAAGATTTTCAACACCTAGTTACAAGGAAGTCTCTATGTCTTCGAAAATTTGCATAACTTTGGGTTTCACATTTTAGTCCTAAAGTTACTTTCTGTTCGGTGTGAGGTAGTCTGCTTCCTTCACTTTTTTTGTTTTGTGAAAATTGTCTGTACCTTTCCGCTCATGAACTTTCAACTGAATTTCTGTGCCTAAAGGCAGTTCTAACCTAAGAATTGAGAAACACAGTTCAGTGCAATAAATTTTAAGAAGTCATAAACACCAAGTAGAAGCAATACTTGATTCTGACCCTGAATTAGCACTGACCCTCCTAATTTCCCACCTTGACCTTGCCTCACTAAATTGGGAAGGAAAGAACATCATTCCTTCCCAGAGTCGAGTTCTGGCCTCTCTCTGACTACAGTCATCAGGTTGTTGTCTTGGCCTTGCCCCCTGTCCTTACCCTGCTTCTGGGTCAGCTCACCAAGTCTCTAAGTTGCCTCAGCTGCTTCCCTGCTCTTTCTTCTGTTCCCCTTCTGAGTTTGCCTATTTCTCCCCCCACTACACTCTCTTCCAGGCTCTCAGCCAGTACAGTTCTTGCCACCTGGAAGGCAGTTTTCTCCAGTGTGTTGATCTAGCCATAAGCCTCTAAATCTGTGGGTCAAGACCTCATATGGTGTAGCTAAACTTTGTTAAAATGTGTTTTAAAATAATTGTTTATGATTTATTATCAGCGAATGTTTGATTTGTATACATGCTTTATATACCTATATACCAGGGGTCCTGCAAAAATTAATTTTTGAATTAAAAGAGGTTAAGAGTAGAACGATTTTAAGAAGCCATGCAATAGAGTGCTATGGCTACTCTTGCCTTTCACAAGATTTTTAAAAATTTAATAATTTTACATTTTTTTTGTTTTGGAGGCCTTGGGGCCAACCCGCTGTTACTCAAAGCTTACTCTTGGCTCTGTGGTCAGGGAACACTCCTGGGGGGGCTTAGGGGGTCCTATGTTGGTGTCTGGGATCAAACCAGGGTTGGATGCATGCAAGGCAAGTGCCTTAACCCCTGTATGATCTCTCCTACCCCACCACAATTTTTTATTAGATTATTAAGATTCACAACATATATGTATTGAGATTTCCTGGGTTCTATAGGCCAATGGGAAGAGAAAAAACATCTTCCTGAGAGGGACCCATTTAGACCCCACACACTACTTATTCTTCTATTATAATCTCCAATGGACTCCAATGAGATTGTATGCTTCTCTTTAGAGTTAGTTACTTCGATTTATTCCTAAGTATTTGATGATTTGATGTACAGGTCTGAATGGTACCTCTTACTTAGTTAGTATCTATGTTCTCATCCCAAACAACTCTACAATCCAGCTACTTGAAGGGGCATGGGAAACTCAGTCATAGAATTGACTGGAGTCCATAAGGGTTCCAGGAACTTTTGAGCACACAGGGTAAGGGGGGGTAAAGGGCGCTCTCATGAGCTGCAGAAGGAGCAGTTTGGGGGTTAAAAGATAAGTCACATCCAGTGGACTTGCCCACAGTCAGTCTTAATCACTTATCACTTAATCACTTAATCCCCGTTATTCATCGATTTACTCGAGCGGGTGCCAGTAACGTCTCCAT